GGACAATGGCATACTGTAGACACCCCATTTTTGACCGCCTTTAAGACTTGGACGCGACTGATGGTTTTGAAAGATGTGCAGGGCAAATGTTCAATTTTTTCGGCAAGGAGAGAGAGTCAAATCTCAACTTCATACCCCTTTTTGGACCAAAACAATCTTGATCAAAAGATTTTAGACCTTGAAACCCTCTCTTTCAAAAACGTTTTTGAAATAAAGTTTCTACGATGTCCCGACGCTCGCATTTTGTTAAATGTCGCGCTTTTCGGTAAACCGAGCGAGGACAAAGTGGAAATGAATGAAAGAGAGATGAACTCTTTTGAAAAATCTTTCAAAACACCTTGTTTAGGGGTTTGGAGTTGAAGAAAAGAGCAGAGGAGAGAAGAAAACAAGGTTGGGAGAAGTTCGGCATGGATCCGGGTAGGACCGAATCTACGCGGCTTCACGGAAACTGGCATAACTTTTTCCACAGGAGGAATTTTAATGCAAGGTTTGCGCCATTGGAAAGCTAACTTCCGGGGCTTCAATTTGGACACTTGAATGGCCACCATTGGACTTCCCAATCACCGGCCGGCCACCTTTTTTTCCGGCAGAACCATTTTTTGTTTTGAAAAGTAGTAGGCCGGCCAGAAAATCTAGCAGGCCGGCCACCTATTTGGTGAATGGCCTTTTTTGCCCTTTTGAGCTGGCCGGCCATGATCCTTGTCCCAAGTGCATTCCAGCCATGTATTTTGTTTTGCACTTCACCCATGTCCGAGGGTTTGGCCTTTTTGGGGGGGAAACTTGAATTTGAAATTTCCCCCCTTTTCTCCACTCCTTTGCCTATAAAACCAGCCCCTCCCCTTTAGTTTTAAGGGTTACAAAAATTGGTTCTAAGCCTCTTGCATTCAATCCCTCTTCCCTTCTATTCCAAACATCAAAACCCTTTTGTTCTTGGACCATTCCTACTCCCTTTACTCTACAACCCATAACACCCCTCCTCCTCACTCCATTCCAGCAGCTTGAAGGCCATTTCCAGAGCTTAAGAGTCCCCAAGCTTGGTCCAAAGGCTGTCAAAGATTGGTTCTTCAAGGGTAAGTCTTTTTTTCCTCTTTTCTTGCTTTATTTTGATCTATATTCTAGCTCCTTGTGCTCGCATATTTGGGCTCCGACCCTAACTGAAAATAGTCTTATTTTAAGCTCTATTTCATGTTTGATTAAGGGCTTCTCCCTGTTTGAGGCTTCTTTTTTACACTTTGTGTTAAAAGCCTCTTTTAGGCCTCTTTCTTGCATAGTATTTTAGGCCTATTTGTAAACTGTTTCGAGCTTTACTATAAACTGTGAGTTGCCTTATTTTGAGCCCCTCTTCAACTTTGTTGAAGGGCTCTTCACTGTTTGAAACTTCCTTCTATCACTTGCCTCTTTATCCCTCTTTTGGCCTTATTTTTGCATGTTTTGTTAGCCCCTTGTGCTCGTATTTTTGGGCTCTGGTCCGAACTGTAAATGACCTTATTTTGACCCCCTCTTGACCTTTGCTGTTTGAAGCTCCCTTTTTGCTCTATGTGTTTAAGCCTCTTTTTAGGCCTTATTTTGCATAGTATTTTAAGCTTGCATATGCAATGTTTTGGGTTTGGTCACTAACTGCAAAATACCATGTTTTGGGCCCCTCTTCAACTTTGTTGAAGGGCCCTCCTATGTTTGAGGCCAGCAACCATCACTTGCCTCTTTGTCTCCCTTTTGGCTCATTTCTTGCACAATGTTTTAGGCCTGTTTGTGTTTAGATCCGTGGCTTGTTGTAAACTGTAAAGTGCTTCATTTTGAGCCCCTCTTCAACTTTGTTGAAGGGATATTCACTGTTTAAGGCTTCCTTTTATCACTTGTCTCTTTATCCCTCTTTTGGCCTTATTTTTGCATGTTTTGTTAGGCCCTCGTGCTTGTATTTTTGGGATTTGGTCCGAATTGTAAATAGCCTTATTTTGACCCCCTCTTCATGTTTTATCAAGGGCTCTCCTCTGTTTGAGGCCAGAAACCATCACTTGCTTCTTTGTCTCCCTTTTGGCCCATTTCTTGCACAATGTTTTAGGCCTGTTTGTGTTTAGATCCGTGGCTTGTTGTAAACTGTAAAGTGCTTCATTTTGAGCCCCTCTTCAACTTTGTTGAAGGGATCTTGGCCATTTAGGGCTAGAAGATGCTGCTTGCTTCATTATCTCTCTTTTGGGGCCATTTTTGCATGTTAACTTAGCCCTATTTGTGTTCACTTTTTGGCCTTGCTTAAAACTGTAAATATGCTTGTTTTGGGACTATATTGATTCTTTCTTCACACTTCATGTTCGAATAATGCATGCTTTGCATAGCCATAGGTCATTCCATGTACCTAATTTCATGTTTCGGGTCTCATTCCATGTATCGGGTGCCATGTTTCCATGTTCTGGGGCCATTTTGCATCATATTTTGCTACTGAAATTTGCATGCTAGTATGCCATATTCCATGCCTTGCCATGTCTTGTTAGAGTGGCATTTGGTGCCTTAGGGTCGATCCTCGATT